CCCAAACTGGCTCTTTGTTGTATATATAGTAACATTAATCATTGCAAAACCACACTAGAAGCCCCTATATAACACTGCCTTATTTGAGCTGCAAAAAAATCCGAAGGATCCCTCGATGGCAGTCGAGGAAAGCATCCAATCCCGTCTCAGGCTGGACCAGATCTGCGCAGGCAATTCTGCAAGAGGTTTTTCAAAGAGTGTTTGGTGCACGGAACTGAATAAAAGCTCTTGCTGAAATGTCTATTCTTCCTCGTTCCCCGGGCAGAGGAGTTAATCCAGCTCCCTTGGGGACGACCCTGACCTGCCGCCGTTCGAAGAGAGCCTTACCGGGATCCCAAACCAGAGCGAAAGCGAAGGAAGGCGCTTCTCCCCCGGGCCGTCTGTCTCGGCAGCCATTTTGGAATAGGGTGCTCTCGCTTCAATTTCGCCCCGATTCAAGAGGCGACGCCATCTTCACTTCTGGCAAGGTAACGTCCTGACTTTTGAACCTGGAAAAAGATTCGCTGGGTCAAGAGAATCGTTTTTAGGAGACCGTTTCGTTGTCAATTAATTATTTATATTTTAACAAAAACACTTTTAAACCGAAGGCAGCTTTAATTAATAACTAAGAAACCTGGCCCGGTTTCAAAACATCCCGCGGTGGAGTCTCGCGATATTTCTCCGCTGCGCCCGACCATGAGAGAAATGGAAGGTGCGCACCTCCCCTGAAGGGCGCCCCCTGCAGTTGGAGGACTAAATTAGTGCCAGTAGAGTCAGAATGGTCCTTGGCAAGTGAAGCGTTTCCGATGCATGAAACGCTCGGTTAATTTTTCTTTCTCGAGATCTAAACGGGTTTAGTTCCACTAGTTACGTAATAACAAGATTAACGCTTGTTTCCTGGTTTTTGTGGTATCTTTAACCGTTGCTCAAACAAGTACCTCGAAGTAAAAATTTTCTCTATAGAGTTTTGAGGCTGAATGCAATCATTTTTTCAACTTAACCAACGTCCATTCTTAATACTAAACCTCCCCCCCCCCAATTTTTTTCTTATTGGACTATAAATGAAAGCAAATTAAGGGTCAAGAAATGTATTTTAAAAAAAGGATTAATGCACATATAGCTTATCTTTAAATCATATCTGCCTGCCTTATACAAGCCTCTTGTTTGTGCTCAGTGCCTAGATCCCCCCCCCCATATTTATAGAGGCAATGAATGTTAAACCTAACTGTTAACCTAAACTGTTAAAAATGCAGTATAGATGCAAATTGCATTCACTGAATTCTAGAGATGGGGGTGGGGTGGGGGCTGAGGTGCAGGGAGAGAGAAAATCAAAGGGAGAGAGAGAATCAAATGTATTTTTAAAAAAATGATTAATATACATATAGCGTCTCTTTAAATCATATTTGTCTGCCTTATACAAGCCTCTTGTTTATGCTCAGTGCCTAAATCCCCCCCCCAATATTTATAGAGGCAATGAATGTTAAACCCACCCTGTTAAAAATGCAGTATAGATGCAAATTGCATTCACTGAATTCTAGAGATGGGGGGGGCTGTGGTGCAGGCAGAGAGAGAGAATCAAAAATAGTTGCACAGCACATATTGCCACGACAAACAGAAGATGTGAATTAATACGTTGCCATACTAGTGTATAGTGTAATATTAAGAGAGCTAGTGTTTAAAAGCACCAGGCTGAAAAAAACAAAGAGATTTGGGTTATCTACAGCCACAGTGCCAACCTATTGGGAGTGCCCCAGATGGAGAATTATATTATTTTGATTATATTTATTATTTATTTATTTGTTTGTTTGTTTGTTTG